AATTTTAAAATGTAAGTTAATTTTCATAAAGGTAGATTTATTAAATTTAAAAGATTCTCTTCTTTTGGTGCCTTACTGGTCCACAAAACTATGTGGTCAGATATCTAAAAGTATGGGGCTGTTGGGTAAAAAAGAATCAGATTTTATTTCTTCGCTTTTACCTTGCTCTGTAAGAAGAAAAAAACAAAATAATACTTGAAAAAAAACCCTCAACCATTATCCTAAATAATTCACAAGCCTCTTGCTGTCATTTATGCAGTAGGTCTTGAGCACCTATATAAGCCAGACTCTAGGACGGTCCCACTCCTCTGGAAAAGATTCTCAGTGACCTGTATGAAACACAAACCTGCTGAAGTCCTTGAGTTGGGCTGGGTCTCTTGGTTTGTGTCTGGGCCAGAATTTTCCAACTGCTATGCCAAGCCAGCAACTCCTGCTCTGTCCTGAAATCCCCAGTCTCTAGTGTTCAGGAGGGTGGCTGCTACAGCCTGCTGGAGAAGACTAGAATCTGTAAGTCTGGGGTTTTGATTTGTAGACACTTCAGGCCACGTTCTGTTCACTCATAAGCACACAGATTTCTTGGACAATAAAAATAAGTACAAGTGGTAGAGGACTGGATTAAAGATGGCAGCATGAGAGGTGAGACAGAGACCTCCTAAAACCACATAAAATATGAAAATATAATTAATACAACTAATCCTGAAACAGCAACAGGAAAGAAGGCTGCACCAGACTGCATATACCTGGGGAAAAGAGCAGACCTCACGGAACAGGGTAATGCACCAAAGCTGTGACCTGGCAGGGCCCAAGCCCTTCCCCCACCCTAGCTCACCAGTGGGACAAAGAGAAACAGAACAGGGAGGGAGTGGAAGCCTGGGACTGCTGAATACCTAGCCCTGGAGATCTGCTCTGGGAGCACGAACCTACACTGTATGGTGCTCTGGTGATTTAGTGGGGTTGGAAAGCTAAGACAGGCAGAATACCTGGAGAGATGGAGATTCCAGCTGCTTGTGGAAAACAGGGATTCATATCTGGCTGATAAAGGTGGGCAGTCTGAGAGACTTCCTAAAAGTAGAGGGCTGCTAAAGGGGCAAGGAATGCACAGAGCTTACTGCTCAGGAGAAAGGACAGATAGACAAAATTGCCTGGGTGCACTCTGCCCATCAGGTTGGGAGCTTAAACCATCTTCAGGTGTTCCATCCCCCTGGCTGGCTACGCAGCTCCAAGGCTCCTCACTGTGATACACAGCCTGCTGTGTCTTCCTTGAAGCCAGCCCGCACCTGGCTTAGGCTCACAAACCAGCAACCCCTGCCCTAGTGTCAAGCCAACCAGAGGGAAGCCCCATCTATGGCAGCTACAAACACAAAGCATAGAGGCTTATCCCTGTGTGTTTGGCCCACTGGTTCTGGCAGTGGAGACAGGCATAGCCGCCGGGAACCAGGAAACAGCTCTTTCCTCCCCCCAAGCATCAACACTGCTCCCCTACGACCACTGACATTGCTCCAGGGGCTGAGCAGCTCCAGACAGTAGAGCTTCTGGGCACTAGAGGACACCACAGACAAATTATGAAATGTCAAAGGAACCTGGTTCAAAACAAAATTATGAATATCCCTAAGAAACATTAAAATGAAATTGACCTCATGAATCTCCCTGAAAGCAATTTCAAAATAAAAATCATTACCATGCTCATGGAGGTACAGAAAAATATTCAAGAACTCAGGAAAGAATTTAGGATGGAGATCCAATCATTAAAGAACACAATGGAGGGTATTAAAAGCAGATTAGATACAGTGGAGGGGACAATAAATGAAATAGAAATTAGGGAAGAGGAATACAAAGAAGCTGAGGCATGGAGAGAAAAAAAGATCTCTAAGAATGAAAGAACACTGAGAGAACTGTGTGACCAATCCAAATGGAACAATATTCATATTATAGGGGTACCAGAAGAATAAAAGAGAGAAAAAGAGATAGAAAGTGTCTTTGAGGAAGTAATTGGTGAAAACTTCCTCAATCTGGGGAAGGATATAGTCTCTCAGGCCATGGAGGTGCATAGATCTCCCAACACAAGGGACCCAAGGATGACAACAGCAAGACATATAATTAAAATGGCAAAGATCAAGGATAAGGACAGACTATTAAAAGCAGCCAGTGAGAGAAATAAGATTACATACAAAGAAAAACCCATCAGGATGTCATCAGATTTCTCAGCAGAAACCTTACAGGCCAGAAGGGAGTGGCGTGATATATTTAATGCAATGAAAACAGAAGGGCCTTGAACCAAGAATACTTTATCTGGCAAGATTACCATTTAAATTTGAAGAAGGGATTAAACAATTTCCAGGTAAGCAAAAGCTGAGAGAATTTAGCCCCCCACAAACCATCTCTACAGTGTATTTTGGAGGGACTACTATAGATGGAAGTGTTTCTAAGGTTAAATAGCTGTCACCAGAGGTAATAAAAAGGGATAGACAAAAAGTACCTAATATATAAAGAATGGAGGAGGAAGAAAAGGGGGAGAAAAAAAAGAACCTTTAGATTATGTTTGTAATAGCATAATAAATGAGATAAGTTAGACTCTTAGATGGTAAGGAAGTTAATCTTGAACCTGTGGTAACTACAAATCTAAAGCCTGCAATGGCAATAAGTACATACCTATTGATAATCACCTTAAATGTAAATAGACTGAATGCACTGATCAAAAGATAGAGAGTCAATGAATGAACAAAAAAACAAGACCAACTATATGCTGCCTACAAGTGACTCACTTCAAACTCAAAGACATACACAGACTAAAAGTGAAGGGATGAAAAAGATATTTCATGCAACTAATAGGGGTTGCAGTACTTGTATCCGACAAAATAAAACTTCAAAACAAAGAAAGTCATAAGAGACAAAGAAGGACATTACATAATGATAAAGGGGTCAGTCCAACAAGAGGATATAACCATTTAAATATCTATGCACCCAACACAGGAGCACCTACATATGTAAAACAAATACTAACAGAATTAAAAGGGGAAATAGATTGTAATGCATTCATTCTAGGAGACTTCTACATTCCACTCACTCCAAAGGACAGATCAACCAGACAGAAAATAAATAAGTAGACAGAGTCATTGAACAACACATTAGAATGATGAACTAGCAGAAAGAGAAATCAGGAAAACAATTCCATTCACAATTGCATCAAAAATAATAAAATACCTAGGAATAAACCTAACCGAGGAAGTGAAAGACCTATGACCTGAAAACTACAAGACACTCCTAAGAGAAATTAAAGAGGATACTAATAAATGGAAATTCATCCCATGCTTTTGGGTAGGAGGAATTAATATTGTTAAAATGGCCATCCTGCCTAAAGCAATCTACAGATTCAACACAATTCCTATCAAAATACCAACAGCATTATTCAATGAACTGGAACAAATAGTTCTAAAATTCATATGGAACCACAAAAGACCCCGAATAGCCAAAGCAATCCCTAGAAGGAAGAATAAAGCAGGGGGAATTATGCTTCCTGACTTCAAACTCTACTACAAACCTACCGTAATCAAGACAATTTGGTACTGGCACAAGAACAGACCCATAGACCAGTAGAACAGAATAGAGAGTCCAGATATTAACTCAAGCATATATGGTCAATTAATATACAATAAAGGAGCCATGGATATACAATGGGAAAATGACAGCCTCTTCAACA